ATTAAAGTGGCAAACCCTTTTTACAACAATGGATTATTGGGATGGAGAAGGAAAAGGCACTATAAGAACTAATTGTACGCAAGTAATTATTTTATTACTTTATTGCCAATTCTCCTCTCTATTCCCCAATTGCTCTTTCTCACTCTCATTATATACATTTTTGGTTTTCTATTTATGATGTAATTTATGATGTAATTTATGATGTAATTTACGGTGTAAATTACAGTGGAATTTATGGCGTGGAATTTACGGTGTAAATTGAGGAATTGATTGACATAAACAAAAAGGAAAAAAGAAAAAAACAATGCGTTTCTAAAAGAAGACGTATAACACGATAATGCAAATAACGACAATGAAATACAAATTGATCAACTGACGAATTTCACATTCCGGTAGAATACATTGTCATTGCTTGAAACATTTTCAAGTCATTTTATTTCGCCGATAATTGATTTTAACAGAATGGAGCAGGAGGTTGAGCAGGTGTTTAATCTTTTCGATAGTGAGCTCCGTTTGCTCACTAATGCGGTGTTCCAGTTTGAACACCAGCTGGTGTACGCCGTGAAAGGAGAGTTTCTGGCGCAGGCTGTTTCTGTATGTTTACTCTCTCAATCAATCATTTTATGGAACTTTGCTTGCTACCATTAAATCTTGTTATTATGTGACCGTTATCAAATTCTATCTTTTCATGATTCCGCGAAAAATTACGTATGTATTTTCTTTGTCATAGACTCTTTCATGTGGCGGTGCGTTAGTAGCACATATTTCTGAACAGCAGACAAAGCCGGTGTTGTTAGTCCAAGCACCGAACAACGCCATAGCGTTAGGCATCGGCGAGCTGTACAAGATCATAACGAATTTGGCACGGAGCGCCAGTGGAATACCTCAACAGTTGTTTGACCATTTCAAGTTGTTGTTACGAATGGAAGCTGGGTGTCAGATCCAATTGTCTAATGGACAAGTGGTGAACATTTTTGGCTCAACCAAGGGTTTCAAGTGCTTAGAAACGCGGCAGCAATCGATGATATGGCAGATCAACGCACTCGTCCAGTATATACGAAACGATTGGGAGTTCATGGTAATAATAAAGTTTATTATATAATCAGCTTGTTATGCGTCCCTACGGTAAAATCCTTTAAATCTAGGTACCGGAGATACTTGTGTTGTCGCTATTATTGTCGCTATTATTGATGTCCTGGTCGTTCAATGATCTGTGGAAAATTTACGAAGAGTGCAAGATCAAGGAAGAACTGACGGAAGCCGACAAGCGAGAGTGGCTTGAGCTTCTCAACAGTGTAGAAGCAATTTTGATTAAAATCTGCGACAAGCTGAAGTTCAGATTTAATGTCCCTCTTAACAGTAAGTGGAGAAGATGATTTTTGTCGTTAGTTGTTTCGATAATGATGGATTTTATTTAAACACCTGTCGCAGAACTTTTTAAAGCCCTGGTCTTAGAAACTACAAATCTTATCAGTAAGCTCGAAAGAACGAAAGAGGATATCAAGGAGAGGATCGAAATATTGAAGGAACAAGCGATGGACCGCGCGAAGAAACGAAATATGTTTGCAGTGTAAATAAAAACACTCATAATGCTTTGCTTGTTAAATAACTTTTCACCTTGTTTTTTGTTTGTAAAAATTCTCGACACAGGGCCACCGGAGTCATCACCGGCATCACATACTTTTGTGTGCCCAAGCCATTCGTAAGCGACATTTTAACAATAGCTGTGTGTTGTTCCCAACTCAATTTAACTTAATCCTGCAACCTAGTGGGCACTCGGAATGATCAGCGGTGGAGCCACTTTTGTTGGTGCAGTCGTCATGACGAAATCGGTGAATGCTCTGATGCAAGCACAAAGAAAGCAGGAAGAAGTGTTGAATAATCTGGAGTACTTGAATGAGCAGCTCTCATCCATCGAACATTACACAACGGACTTAGAATACGAACCTGTCGCTCATGGGGTCCTCTTACACCAATTCAGAAGGTATTTAGGAAGCATACAACATTTCAGACGCAGTTTAGTAGATGACGAATAATCAAATAATGTATTCTGCTCCACTGAATGTAATCCACTATATTTTCCTTTTGTTCAAAAAATTTAAATATGTTAAACATTCTTAAAGAATAAAATTATTCGACACAAGCAGGTTGAATTTACGTACGTATTCTCGTGTCCACGATAAATTCATTCAAAATTTATCCAGATAAAGTTTAATTCCCTCAAAAGAACATCACATTCCCACTACATATAACGATAAACGTTAGCGCTGGGATTCTATTACCGTTACCGTTACATGTACTTAACGTTAATAGTAATTATGATTTGTAATTTTTGCTTAAGTTAAAGTTTGCCCGAGATTTTCAATTTAACATCAATGTTAAGTTGATTTTGCCTGAAATATACTTTATTTTTTTCCTGAATACGTATCGGTATGCTAAAATTTACAAACTTCCTGATGTTCACTTTTACCTCACGTAGTTAGGCCGTTTAATTTTCTCTACGATCTCACCTGCAATAGTGCAATGATGCTTTATAAATTGTTCCGAAACCTCCTTTGCAATTTGAAAAGGAATCCATTTAAGATTTTGCGCATATTAGACTGCCGATATCATTAGACCGTTCAGAAATTCGTTTGTGATAAAATAACCGCTCATTTTTTGACAATTGGCACACATTTACCAAAGTACATATACGTACGTAGCGGTAGTGCATTTATTACAAAATCGAGTTCACTGTGAATAATGACACATCTACATACGATAAAAAATCCTGGTATTTTATCAATTTTGCTATGGAAATAAAAATTGTCAGTTCTTCAGTTTACCTGAGCATTGATTTTCCCGACACATTTTCTATAGAACGTTTATTGTTTGTTTTATGATCTTTGAAATTTAGTTTTATCATATATTTTAAATTTGAGACTCTGTTGCTATTCACCTTAACAAAAAAAATTTACAATGCATTTTTCTTTTAGTATCTTTTTCATCATTCTCCATAAAAATATCAAACTCGTGAGACATTATATAGTACTGGACAGCATAAACTACACTATTACCGAAGTGTAACATTAAATGCACGTAACGATAGTGATTATCAAGAGGACGATAATTATCCCAACAATTACTTGGACAATAGGAGAACATCGAACGATAATGAACGCATGTAACGATAGTGACCATCAAAAAGGAAGACAATAATCTGGACAATTAAAAGATATTGAACAATTGATTCTTGATCGTTTCAAAAGAAACCAAATGTCAATTATTAACCTTAGAATTAGCGTAGGATTAGCGTAGTAATCCAAAATTGTATATAGAAGCGTCTTTAAGTCTCTGAGAGAACACGCTTTGATCTAATAAAATAACAAAGTTCTTACTCGTAATAGTAGTACTACTTGTGAATACACTATTATTTATTTTCCTTGGTCAAACTTCAAACCTTGTGAGTAATTACAAGTAGTGGATGCTCCTCCACTCTAAACAAGCCGTTGATTCTTTTGAATCGCTATTTTATACAGGCCGTATCAATAAGTCCTGCTAAGTTAATTTTGTTTTCTTTGAACAAGCAATTTCAATAAGTCCTGTCACGTCCGTAAATATATTGATTATTAACAAAT